AGTTTTTAAATTATGTTTAATATTTAATTTATATAAGTTCCAATCTGTATATTTATTATACAAAACTGGATACGGTACTTTTGGTTGTATATCGCAAGAGAATGTTAAGTAGATTGGTGAATGATCAGAGTTTAGATCAAATTTGTTTTAAAATAAACAATTGTACTGCTTTTTTAACTACGATGTACGTTTTTGGTTGATTTCAAATCTGGCAAGCCTAATCACAACCTATTACAATTTGCTTATTTTTCTTGTGTGCCTCTTCAACCAGTTTCACCAGCTCCGACGTTGGAGGTAGTATCAGAGAATCGAAAGGCAGGTAAATAGATGCAAGGTATATGTAAGTTCTTGTGACATAAGATACATGTTCTCGGATACCTATTACAAATAAAGTTCCCTCGGGTTCTTCTTTCCTGTAAAATACGTCCCATTTTCACAGCCAGCTCAGCATTCTGACCACCAAGAATTTCCAGTATACGTTCATTAGCCAGTTTATTGTTGACAAGGTCTTCTATTATACTCTGTCTATTGGAATTTTGACTGTCGGATTACCGGCATCGTGAACTGCATAGCAGAGATCGTCCCGGTGTCTTCTTCTGACAACTTTGGCGTAAGATGGCGGCTCTTTTCGTTTTTCACTGTCTAGCCTCTCCATCCTCGCTTTTTGGGCTTCTTTTGAGATACCCTCACCTTCTAGGTTGATTTCTGCGTCGTGGTCGTCTTCGGAATATCTATCTTGGCGTTGTCAGCCTTACTCTCAGGATTCTGACTTGAGGTTCCTTTGAGTGAAGTATGGCTTGGCTTCGACTGTGTATTAGAAGACGGAAGCTCTTTTTCTTCTTAGGTTTATTCTCAGTTGTCAACTCCTCGGGAGACCTGATCCTCCTTGCCGCAGATCTTGTGAGAGAGTCCGATTTTTCCTTCGGAGTGTCGTTGGATTGACTAACTATGAATTCCTGAAGCATATTCTTTAACTTCGTACTCTGTGCTCCAGATTTCCTCTACTTCATCCTTTTTGGGATTTGCTATATTGGTGTTGTTATTATTATCTGAGGATTCATAGTTGGAGTCCTCACCTATATTTAAAGGCTGAGGTAGCTTAGAACTCACTCCGAGTACATCCTTCTCTTTCACCTCTATGTTTTTGCCAATGGTATGCTGTACACTTGAAAATTTACAAAAATGTTCCTGCATTTCTACAATGTGACAGAAAAGGTATAAATTTTGATCAATATAAAGCAAAGCAACAAATCTGACAAACCCTCGCGTTCCAAATATTCAAAGAAATCTAAGTATAACTGTAAAAGATTTATACTGAAGTATAAAATGTATGCTTATAAATGTAAATTTTTCTATAAATAAAAACGTTTTTTTTACATAAAAAGTTTTTTTCCAAACTTTTTTTCAAGGACAAAATTTTTTTAGAACTTTGTTGAAAAGAAATTTTAAGTACAGATATAATTCTGTAAAAAATATTTAATAAATATGGCGTGATTTCAAGATGTAATTTAGTAAATAACTTTGATGATAAATTATCATGACCACACTAAGAGGAAAATCTGTCATATTTTTAATGAACCGCGTTCATTAAAAGTTCTGCATTAGAAATATGTACAATTTCATTAGTACAATGCAACATTTCATGTATGAAATGAAATATTTCATTATCCAATTTTTTGGAAATTTTTGTGTTTCATTGCACTGGTGAAGAATATTTCATTAGAAATATGAAGTTTCATTTTTTTAATTTTTTTTAAAGAATATGTACTATAAATATATTTTATTATTAAATACTGCAATTAACTTTAATTATGCATCTAATTAAATATTTTTTAATTAATATAGTGCAAATTTACCGATTTTTGAAAAATTTATGAAACTGCATCATATTTGCAATGAATAATCTGCAGTAATTCTTCTTCTAAATTTTTGTATATTTCCCTCTACCTTTTCAAATGTTTACCCTTTGTTCACCTTTGGTTACTTTTTTACAACTTTTTAATGTGAATGAACATGTTTCATATTTATAGTGAAGTAGAATTTTTATATGTAATGAAAATTCTTCCGTAATCCTCTGTATACACCTCTACCCTCTTATAAGTTTTACCCCTTGCTCTATTTTTGTGTATTTTTACTAATTTTAGATGTCAATGAAGATGTTTCATATTTCAATGAAACATTCTTCATTAACAATAATTTAAAAACAAGTATGTTTGTTGTTTTTAAAGTATGCCATTATATAGTTGTCATACCACTTTTTTACTTTTTACTACTTGCTTAAACTAACAGTAAAATTAAAAGAAAAAATTGAAGATCTACTTAAGGTTACCAGTAGTTAAGTGTATTTGTTAATAAGGAATGCATTTTATTAAGTTTTTTAAGTTTGTTCTATAAATGACGTCATATATAAAGCTATTATAATAACTGGTCACCTTTTCATTTTTATGTTCTTTTTACAATAAGATGCAAGAACAATCAATCAGTTTTATTTGTGACGCGAAAGCCGGTAGATAAAGAAGTGAAGTGCGTGTTTAAAAATTAAGAAACAAATGTACAGTTTGTATTAAAATATATTCTTTAAAAAAATATATTCTGATTAAAACTGAAATAAAACGTAATAAATTAACAATTGTGCAGGTAATTATAAATATGAATTGTTTTCTGTGTAAAAAAATGTTTGAAGAAATTGATGACTATTTTAAACATTTAAAAGGTTATCATTTTCTTAAACATAATGACAATTATAGATGCTGTGGAACTATATATAAAAATGGGTCTGATTTTAAAAGACATGTCCGGGTGAAACATGCATTAAAGCCAACTACATCTAAAGTGTTGAAATGCGATGTGGTTGATGTAGACGCAACTGCCTCAAATACTAAAAATGTATTCTCTTTAGAAGAACTTGTTGTAAATGATGCAATAAGTTTCGATCACCCAGAAACCCACAAATATAATTTACGTATAATTAGCGAAAACTTTTTAAAATTTCAGACTGCAATTTATGCCGGTCACAATTTCTGTAGAAGTGACGTTGAAAATATCAACAACATGTTAATAAATTTAATTATAGATCCACTTCTGCATCTATTTTGTGTCCTTTGTGAAAAAAAAGAACGTGACTTTTATTTAGAAATTTGCAATTTTACAGATAAATGCAAAAATATATTTACATTTTTGAAAAGTGAGCACCTTGTTTCCAAAAGACTAATGGAGGAAGACCTATTCGAAAATCTGGTAGAAGAGGTGGTGTCAACTAAAGGGGAACTGACGCACAAAAAGGGTAAGCTTAAATTTTCCGAAGTTAAAAAAAAAAATATCTTATATGCCTATGAAATTCCTTTTTAAAAAAGTCCTTCAAAAAGAAAATAACTTGTTAGAAATGATATCATCAATTTCGAATAAATCGAAAAGCCAAATATTGACAAATATTTGCCAAGGAAAAATGTGGCAAAAAAAGTGAAATTTATCCTAACCGATTGCTAATTCCATACATGGTTTACTCTGATGACTTAGAAATAAATAATCCATTAGGTTCACATTCATCGAACCTAATTTGTAATTTTTATGTAAGCTTTCCATGCCTTCCTAATGATACAAAATTGGAAAGCGTGTATTTTATAGCCGCAATTAACTCAAATGATTTAAAAAATATTGGTAAAAAACAATGTTTAAAACCAATTATAGATCAGATGACATCTTTAGAAATAGAAGGAATTTCTGTAGAATTATCGAATGGTGAAAAGTATCACCCGTATTTTATTCCAATACTTATTCTTGGAGATAATCTTGGCTTAAATAGTTTACTGGGATTTTCAAAATCTTTCAATAGTACTTTTTGTCGTTTTTGTACCATAAGTAAGAAAGATAGTCAAACCGCAGTTTCCGTACTACCAAATTTACGTAGAACATATGAAAATTATGAACAACAATTAGTCGAAAAAAATCCAAGTGAATCGGGAATTAGAGAAAAGTGTTTATTTAATAGAATTCCTTCGTTTCATGTTATTGATAATCTTAGCGTTGATGCTATGCATGACGTATTAGAAGGAATTTGTCATTATGACATTTGTAACGCTCTGTTGTATTTTATTGAAGAAAAAAAATATTTTACACTTCAAATTTTAAATAAACGAAAACAACTTTTCGAGTATGGTGAATTAGAAATTGGGAATTTATCTCAAGAAATATCAATTCTTCATATAAAAAAAAAACATTTGAGGATGTCTGCAAGAGAAATGCTGACATTTATTACATATTTTCCGCTTATGGTTGGGGATTTGGTTCCCATTGAAGATGAGGTTTGGGAATTAATATTAACATTAATTGAAATTATAGATACTATATTATTGTTTGAACTAACTCCCTTTAATATTTACGCCTTCAAAGCTAATGTTGAAAAACATAATCGAATGTATTTAAATCTATTTAAAGATACCTTAAAACCAAAATTTCACATACTTATGCATTACCCAGAAGTCATGGAAGCTTGCGGTCCAGTTCGAAAATTTTGGAGCTTCCATTTTGAAGCAAAACATCGCGGTTTTAAATTATATACACACTCCATAACTTCTAGAAAAAATATAAGCGTTTCACTTGCAAAAAAATATCAATTTTACTTTGCAAATTATTTGCTTCAATCAAATTGTAAAGAAAATCCAATTATTTATTCCGAAAGGGATAGATCGAAGAGCAGTTTAATTAATATTGTCTCAAAAATACTTCAAAAGCCAATAAATCAGTTAGATTTGTATGACAAAGTAATTTATAATAACTTACTTTACAAAAAAGAATTTTATATTTGTACAAGAAATAATGATTACAACTTTTACAAAATCAATAACATTGTTATTTTTGAAAACAAAGTTTACCTTTTTGTACAAAAAATGCGCAATGCAACGTATTTAAAACACTATACAGCTTTTCAAATTAATCCCTCCGATTTCGGTGAATTTGAAGTTCTTGATGTGGAACAAATTAAAATACCTCCCACAACTGTTATTGGAACTGCGAAGGGACAATTTATGTTACGTTTTAAAGAAATATAAATTAATCTGTACTTATAATTATTACTTTTATTTTAAGGTTTAGTATGCTTTTTTGAAGGTAAGATATTTATTATTTTTATTTAATTTTCCTCAAATATTAATTAAATTGCTTTTTGTTTCAGCGGAACACATAACTATCGATGTCCTGAAAATAATGAGAAATGATGACATAGATGAAGTTACAAAAAAAATTAAAATTGGGGACCGACTTATATTCAAGTATCAATTTGAAAATTGGAAGGATGAAAATTGCACTCCGTCATTAGCTCGAAGATATATGAAACAAAGTTCTGATAATACCTCATCTTCATCCTTTTTATCTTCGCAATCATCAGATGAAATGGACTCTACACCAGCAGTAATAGATATTTTAAAACAACATAAAGTTGGCTGTAATATTGTTGAACAATACGAAAAATTACAATTATTAACTGAACATCAGCGTATTATTATTATGAATATTATAGTTGAATATTTCTATTCAAGAAATATTACAATGACTTTACAAATCAGCTATCGTTTGGAAAAAGAAATATTAAAAATATTTCCAAGAGAAAAATTGGAATTTTATCGCACAGAGAGGCGTGGACGAATTTATATAAAATACCACAACAACAAAAACAAATTAAAAATGTATGAAAATGAAGCTAAATCCTCAACTGCAGTTCTTGAAGCGAAGGATAAATTTGGTAATGTCACTAAACTTACATAAACATAAAATTTTATTTTAACGTAAACATTATTTTCTTACAGTACCTGAAGACAACGCTCAAATATGTATGCAGAGTTTAAAATATGATAATCTTACAGCAGAAGACTTTAAAGCAACCTGGTCAGCATGTGCAAAATTTCGTTTGAGCCAAATTCACGTTGAAGCGAAAAATATTAATGAGGCACTAGTGAATTGGCCACAATACCGAGGCCCTATTGGATCACAACTGGTAAATAGATATTTATAATCCAAAAATATTTAATTAAATGTAGATATATTATTTATGTTTTTAAATTAATGATTATTATTTTTTATTGTATTTTATAGATGGATTTAGATTTTAAGGTTCTCCAGGAAAAATATTCAACAATTGCTGAAAGTGACGAAAAATTGAAAAAAATATTCAACTACTTGAAAAGTCATGAAACTATTTATAATAATGAAATTAAAAATGTTGTCAACAGTTTGCAGTGGGATGATATAGAAAAAGGTAATTTATTTTGTATAAAAACATATAATGTTACTTATCCATTTAAAATGAATTTTTCTTCTCTTTATATTACAGATAAAAATGGATTTCTCCTGAAAATATTATGGTGTGTTCACTACTTTTTACCCCCAACAAAGAAATTTCTTAAAAAAGACGTCAATGGAAAAAAGGATTTTGGAAAATTTTCCTTAAAAAACTCCCAAGAATCGTTTATATACATAAATGAGACAATGCAATCACTAGAGGATCACACCGATTTCTTAATAGCCAAAGGTGAACCAATTCAACCTTTTATTTTAGGACTTGGAGATTCCAAAAAATTTAATATATCAAAATATTATGTGTTCTTGGATTCTTTTTTGATAAAGTTTAACGACTTTTATAGAGCCTTAGATATTTGTTTTAAAACATTTCATATTTTTAATGTGGAGTATCCATTGCCATCATCAAATTTTTGGTGTTTTGTAGAACATTTTTTTTATAACATTGATAAAACAAGTATTACCAAAAATCAAAAAGTTTCACTTCTAATTAGTGAACTTTCTAACATTTCCTAAAACTATAAAAAAAACTTCTTTACCATTAAATAAATTAATAATTATAAGAAACTATTATTAATGTAATTATTAATTAATTTATAAATTGAATAATTGTAATATTTTTTTTAACTTCCAGTTTGAGAATATATATTAAAATCCGATTGTATTTATCGTTATGTGTTTATGTATGTATATATAAATAAAATATTACTAATAATAAATATATACATATATACATTATATATATTTTTACTGGTTTTTAATGGAGGGGAGGATTTCATATCACACATGAAGTATAATCATTAATCTAATGATATAATTGCATTGCATTAATGTAAAAAAATAGTTAGAACTATGATATAATTACATGAAATATACGAAAAATATTTGTTAAATGTATGAACTAATTTCATTCAATTAATGCAATAAAATCCTTGGATTAACGTAGGGAATGCATGCCAATAATGAAGTAAAATCATTAGTACTACGAAAATGTTTTATTGAATTTATGAAATATATTCACTGAAATAATGAGTAATTTCATTACATTAATGAAGTGGTTACATAAAGCTAGTGGAATGAAAATTCATATTATTAATGAAACATTCTCCATTAATACAATGAATTGCTTCCTTAGCTGACTTTTAATGACATTTTTCATTAATCCAATGTAGGAATTCATGCCTCAAACGAAGGTTTTTCTCTTAGTGCAGGAGATTTATTATTGGAAATGTTTAGTACAATACCAGTGATTTCATCAATCGCTATACTTCTAAAATTTAAAGTGTTATTGCAGTATCGAAGCGTTCGGAGTCCATTGTATGAGTCAGCAGAAGAGTAATGAATTTGTTCTTTCATGATTTTAGGAATTTGTAAAAGGTAATGATTCAGTCATTTGCATTTTACTACATCAGCCGCAATTAATTCTTTATTTAAGCTTAACTTTATTTGACCACCATTTATCATCAAGTTATCCATTGTATAATGTCATCACCTAATGACTTGAATCTCTTCTGATGTTATCCTCAAGACATATTTTCTAACTAGATAACTAAGCAGTGGAGTTGTGAGTAAGACAGCGAACTAACGAACAAGAAGAGCATTTTGAGCATTTTTTCTTAAGCAACGTTTAAATATACTAATATATTAGTAACCACTTGCAGTAAAATATACATATTTATCAATATAATACTAAAAATATTTTAACATCTTCACATTTTAATATTATTGCTACTAAAAATTGCAACATTACTTTGAAATTTCTAGCAGCTCACTTTAACAGTATTCGTTTTCTGCGTTTGTACAACATTTGAAATATATTTTTTTGCTATAGGTAACGCACACACGCCATCGTTGTGCTGCTAATTTCTATGCAATGTATCAGACCTGGGCGATTTCCATTAATTTTGCATTAACATTAAATTAAAAAAAAAAAATAATTTAATGTAAAAAATATAGCATTAATAACATTAAATTTGTAAAATTTAATGCATTAAATTTGCATTTACATTAAATATTTTTGAATTTAATGCATTAATTTTACATTAACATTAAATATTTTTGAAATTAATGCATTAATTTTGCATTAACATAAAATATTTTTGAATTTAGTGCATTAATTTTACATTAACATTAAATAAGTAATAAAATTAATGCATTAATTTTCCATTAACACTAATATTTATAAAAATTGATAAACATAAATTAATTAAATGTAGATATATTATTTATGTTTTTAAATTAATGATTATTATTTTTTATTGTATTTTATAGATGGATTTAGATTTTAAGGTTCTCCAGGAAAAATATTCAACAATTGCTGAAAGTGACGAAAAATTGAAAAAAATATTCAACTACTTGAAAAGTCATGAAACTATTTATAATAATGAAATTAAAAATGTTGTCAACAGTTTGCAGTGGGATGATATAGAAAAAGGTAATTTATTTTGTATAAAAACATATAATGTTACTTATCCATTTAAAATGAATTTTTCTTCTCTTTATATTACAGATAAAAATGGATTTCTCCTGAAAATATTATGGTGTGTTCACTACTTTTTACCCCCAACAAAGAAATTTCTTAAAAAAGACGTCAATGGAAAAAAGGATTTTGGAAAATTTTCCTTAAAAAACTCCCAAGAATCGTTTATATACATAAATGAGACAATGCAATCACTAGAGGATCACACCGATTTCTTAATAGCCAAAGGTGAACCAATTCAACCTTTTATTTTAGGACTTGGAGATCCCAAAAATTTTAATATATCAAAATATTATGTGTTCTTGGATTCTTTTTTGATAAAGTTTAACGACTTTTATAGAGCCTTAGATATTTGTTTTAAAACATTTCATATTTTTAATGTGGAGTATCCATTGCCATCATCAAATTTTTGGTGTTTTGTAGAACATTTTTTTTATAACATTGATAAAACAAGTATTACCAAAAATCAAAAAGTTTCACTTCTAATTAGTGAACTTTCTAACATTTCCTAAAACTATAAAAAAACTTCTTTACCATTAAATAAATTAATAATTATAAGAAACTATTATTAATGTAATTATTAATTAATTTATAAATTGAATAATTGTAATATTTTTTTTAACTTCCAGTTTGAGAATATATATTAAAATCCGATTGTATTTATCGTTATGTGTTTATGTATGTATATATAAATAAAATATTATTAATAATAAATATATACATATATACATTATATATATTTTTACTGGTTTTTAATGGAGGGGAGGATTTCATATCACACATGAAGTATAATCATTAATCTAATGATATAATTGCATTGCATTAATGTAAAAAAATAGTTAGAACTATGATATAATTACATGAAATATACGAAAAATATTTGTTAAATGTATGAACTAATTTCATTCAATTAATGCAATAAAATCCTTGGATTAACGTAGGGAATGCATGCCAATAATGAAGTAAAATCATTAGTACTACGAAAATGTTTTATTGAATTTATGAAATATATTCACTGAAATAATGAGTAATTTCATTACATTAATGAAGTGGTTACATAAAGCTAGTGGAATGAAAATTCATATTATTAATGAAACATTCTCCATTAATACAATGAATTGCTTCCTTAGCTGACTTTTAATGACATTTTTCATTAATCCAATGTAGGAATTCATGCCTCAAACGAAGGTTTTTCTCTTAGTGCAGGAGATTTATTATTGGAAATGTTTAGTACAATACCAGTGATTTCATCAATCGCTATACTTCTAAAATTTAAAGTGTTATTGCAGTATCGAAGCGTTCGGAGTCCATTGTATGAGTCAGCAGAAGAGTAATGAATTTGTTCTTTCATGATTTTAGGAATTTGTAAAAGGTAATGATTCAGTCATTTGCATTTTACTACATCAGCCGCAATTAATTCTTTATTTAAGCTTAACTTTATTTGACCACCATTTATCATCAAGTTATCCATTGTATAATGTCATCACCTAATGACTTGTATGTAATGAATCTCTTCTGATGTTATCCTCAAGACATATTTTCTAACTAGATAACTAAGCAGTGGAGTTGTGAGTAAGACAGCGAACTAACGAACAAGAAGAGCATTTTGAGCATTTTTTCTTAAGCAACGTTTAAATATACTAATATATTAGTAACCACTTGCAGTAAAATATACATATTTATCAATATAATACTAAAAATATTTTAACATCTTCACATTTTAATATTATTGCTACTAAAAATTGCAACATTACTTTGAAATTTCTAGCAGCTCACTTTAACAGTATTCGTTTTCTGCGTTTGTACAACATTTGAAATATATTTTTTTGCTATAGGTAACGCACACACGCCATCGTTGTGCTGCTAATTTCTATGCAATGTATCAGACCTGGGCGATTTCCATTAATTTTGCATTAACATTAAATTAAAAAAAAAAATAATTTAATGTAAAAAATATAGCATTAATAACATTAAATTTGTAAAATTTAATGCATTAAATTTGCATTTACATTAAATATTTTTGAATTTAATGCATTAATTTTACATTAACATTAAATATTTTTGAAATTAATGCATTAATTTTGCATTAACATAAAATATTTTTGAATTTAGTGCATTAATTTTACATTAACATTAAATAAGTAATAAAATTAATGCATTAATTTTCCATTAACACTAATATTTATAAAAATTGATAAACATAAATAAAAATACAGCACAAAAGGCCTCGATCTAAGTATATACAACTAAAATTAAATAGGTTAAAGTCCTTTCTAATATCTCCTATATTCCATTCAAACTTGTATGTTTTAGATATGATATTTATATAAGATTCCACAGTGTGACAATATAAACTAAAAAAGGAATACCTGGGAAGTGATACTATTCCTCTGATATGTATTATCGAGTATAGGATTATTATACCAACCTACCTACCATATAATACATACATACATACATACATACATACGTACATACATACATACATACATACATACATACAGTGGACGTCCACTAGTACGAATTATATAGTGTCAGGCCCTTTCGTATATATATATATATATATATATATATATATATATATATATATATATATATATATATATATATATATATATATATATATATATATATATATATATATATATATATATATATGTTGAACGATAACCGGAGGTTGAGATGTTGGCCCTTATAGTTTCAGAAATATGTAGTTTGTTTCGATTTTATATTGACGCTATATCCGATTTTTTTGTCGCTTACGTCTTTTTTGCCGAGACAAATTTTTATGATATAAACAATTTTGAGGCGGTTACGTCTAAATTCTCTGTCTAAAAAAATAATTTTTTGTGTATATCTTTATATAATTTGTATAAATCTGAAATTTAAGAGTGTAAAAAATATGTTTTTATAAAATTTTAAGATCATCTAGCAATGTCTGTATGTCAATCTTTTTGTTGAAAACCGGATAGATTCCGAACGTTATGAGGTACAGTGATGAAATTCTCCAAAAATGCTTATTGATGACAAATATTGTTTTGTGTTAACAATGGGCAAAATCGGTTCATGATTTCACTTAGCCCCCATACAAGTACCTCCCGGATTATAGTTAAAACATTAATAAATATGTTGTTTATGTAGCAATCGCAATAAAATTTTGCAGAAGTCGGTTATATATACTTGTAAATTATGTAAATACAGATGTCAGGCAATATTTGACCCTAGCCTCCTTATATGGACCCTTTAATACAATGATTTTATGACCATAGCTGTCTTAAAAATATCAGTATAGCAACGAAATTTGATATATGATGATGTTTTAGGATGGGTCCATATGCCCCTCATACAGAAAATAAGTTTACAGTTAATAAATCTTTAAAAAATTAAGAAAGTATGATAAAATTCTACAAAAAACATTTGTTTTCAAAACTAATCACGCGTTTAAATTCTATAGACCTCGGTCCACAATTGACTAAATCCATCATTAAAGACCGTATTCTGAAAATCACCCTGATGTCCACTTTTATATCCATACATGGTAGTACAATTCGCCCTATATCGAATAAATAAGTAAATTCTGGTACTATTGATTCATTAAGATTCCATATACAGGTCCACCTTCCGAAATCCACAAATATAAGAGTTGGTTATATGGTAATAATATAAATGCAATATAATTAGTAATTAGAATGAACTAAATTCATAAAAAATTATAGAAAATTATAAATTTTAGCACATAAATTGCAATGGCATAGTGATAATTACATGAATTTATTACAATTATACTCAGATATGTGGCATTTCATTCACAAACAAATTTAATACGTTAATTTGTTCAAAATTTTTCCATTAATTTAATATATTTTAAAAGAAAATTTAGACGTAACCGACACCTTGCTGTTACAAAATTCATAAACAGAAAATAAATGTGTACTTACGTCTTTTTTCTTTTTCTTGTAAAGTTGAAATTTTTATTTTTTGAACATTTATTTAAATTTTTATTGAATTTTTTATTAAATTTGTTTGATTTTTAGTTTAGTTTAAATTGAATTTTATTTTTATTGAAAAATAAACAAACAAAAATGGGATTTACAAAATAAATGTGGTAGCTCGATTTATTAAAATACCAGCAAACGTCAGAATGTTAATATGGCGACAAAAAGAGAGAATGACACTACCTTGATATTTTTATCATGCATCGATGTATACATTCCCTCTGTTGTTTATTTATAATACAAATAATATGAATAACACAAATAAGTACAAACATATAATTTTTTTCAGTGCAAAGCACACATGAAAGTTGTTTAAGTCAACGAAATTTTTATATTTCTGAATATCAGAATGAAAAGATATAAAGTAAACATTAGTTTACTCAGAGGGGAGAATACTTAATTAAAATGCTATGAAAACTACGGGCAAAGCAAGGTCCAAAAATCTAGTAACAGACAAAGACTAACGAGATATAGAATAGACTGTAAACTAGGCCAGACTAAAGATTAGATTATAGACTAGAATATAGGCTGATTATATTTTATTTTTTAGTATAGTCAATTGTCTAGCCTATAGTCTTGCTTATATTTTACTCTATATTCGTGACTATAGTTTAGTATCAGCGGTATCATTATATTGACTTATTTCGGTATCGGTATTTTAGGGGTAACGGAAGTAGTATTTTAGTAGTAACGGTAGCTTAGCGATAACGGTTGCCAACCTTGTTCTGGAATATATTTACACCAAGTTCACACGAGCAGTTGAATTACTTAATTCGGCCTCTGAATGACAATAGCCAATTAACCCGTTTCTACGACACATTCGTAATTCGTTTTGACAGTTCATCGCCATGTTGTTTTTTTTTCATTCATTATTTTGTATTTTTTTTTTTTTTAATATTTGTGTGTGAAAACCTAACAAAAACCACGTAACTCACGAAGGTAAAGGGTATAACTAGAAGAAAAATAATTATTAGTATTTATAGAAAAATCCCCAAAAATATCGGAAAAATTAAAACAAAATCCCACACGAAAAATGTTTCCCAAATAGAACATGAAATCCCTAATTTGGGAACAAATCCATACATATGCCAATACTGGTCTAGAGTTTTTCAAAATTTTGTGTTTTATGAAAAGTCGACTTTTCGAAATTTTCCAATTTTTTTCCGACTTTTTTCGAAAGGAAATAATTATTTACAGCCTGTTTTTCTAAAACAATTTAGTTCTCACACGAACATTTCATTTTATTACGATCAAGTTTAAAATTAGGTTTTTATAAAACATTTGAAAGTTTTCATTTTAAAATGACTAAAATGAAATGAGCTTTTTCTATCGTAACAGAACATTATTGCCTACGTATTTCATTTCTGAAATTTTAAATATTTTTTTATGTAGCAATAAGGTGTTTGGTGTTAACCCTAAAAAATAAACAAAAAAAAAAAAAACAACAAGTAAGAAAGTATAGTCGGGCGTGGCCATATGATACCCTACACCATATGATACCCTATTTTTCATAATAAAACATTTATCTTCAATATTCTCTTGTTCCGATACATTTATGCAATTTAAGGATGAAAAACTAATTTTCTGAAAGATGCTTTATATGGGGGCTAGGGGGCAAATATGGACCAAGCCCGATAAA